CCATTGTAGAGGTTTAATAATCCAGGGGAACTGAGAAGATCCCTTTGAATAGTGTTATTAAAAATATCCATACAGATGAGTTTTCTGTTATTTTGCTATGTATTAATTTTTTCAAAAGCCAAGGGTATTTATTCTGTCACTCATTCCGGACTTTATTCCAAGAAAAAATGCACTCAGTCTATAAGTAATTTATTAATATTTTGATTATTGATGCTTTTTTAAGGTAAGAACTGATGCATCCTATATGCGGCAAGTAGAATTACCTCTTCAGCTGAGACCTGAAAATCCAGAAATACATAAGATAATGCAGGAAATGTAGCTGCAGGAGAGTATGTCAGTTATATATTGTAAAGTACTGTTAATTGTCTTATGTTGAATGGCAGTTTAATAACTATTCAAATTGAGTTAAAATGAAAATTCCTTTTTAAAAAATCAAATGTAAATATTACTGTATTCTATGGTATACTCATAGTTTGTATATTAAATATTAAATCACCAAGGGGTCTGTGTTCTATCACTTCTACTACAGATGTGCCACTTTCTAATTAATAAAGATTCTTTTTTTCAATTTGCTTTTACAATATAAAATATTTGACTTCTTGAAAACAATCTGTAATTCATTCCTTTGTTTAGTAAAGATCTATAGCTTCTGCATAGATTTTTTTTTGTGGTAAAATATGCATAACAAAATTTACTATTTTAATCATTTTTAAGTGCACAGTTCAGTAGCATTAAGTAAATTCACAATGTTATGCAACCATCACCATCAACCATCTCCAGAACTTTTTTCATCTTCCCAAACTGAAATTCTGTCCCCATTAAGCAATAACTCCCATTTCTCCCCTGTCCCCCAGCCCTTGACAGCCATGATCTGTCCGACTGACTACTCTAGGGACCTCAGATAAGTGGAATCATACAGTATTTGTCCTTTTGCAACTGGCTTATTTCACTTAGGGTAGTGTCCTCAAGGTTCATCCACGTGGTAGCATATGCTGGAATTCCTTTTCTTTTTAAGGCTGAATACTACTCCATTGTACGTGAGTATCACATTTTGTTTATCCATTCATCTGGAGTTGGACACTTGGGTGGCTTCCATCTTTTGGCCATTGTGGAGAGTGCTGCCATGCATATGGGTGTACTGCATAGTTTCTTTTAAAAATTAACACAACAGTGCTCTTTTTTAACAAGGCCATACAGATTTTACATAAAACACAAAGTGTTTTTGACTGACACTTACTTAACCTCAGAATTTGGACCTTGGTGCAATACAAAAGGAGAATATTTTGCCAGTATATGTCACTAAGGATTACACTGAGGATATATTTATAGTCAGTCTTTCAAATTATAAAAAGAAATATAAAGAGAGGACTTGAAACCTTTAAAGCATTTTTCACCCAGTCAAGCTATTTGGTAGGAAAGCTTGTCGGAGAGACTTAGAGTTCAAAGGCAGCCCATTGAATATAGTCAATTCCAAATGAAGACAAAGCTGTTTTTATCATAACTGAAGGCTATATTAAAAAAAAGGATACTATTGATAGAATCCTGGATACCTTAATGTACAGTAAATCTCAAATAAATAGAGGCTATTCAGCCATACATTTGATATATTTGTCAGAGAAGGTGCCAAAAAATAAGTTATAAAGGGAACCTGACTATTTTATAGCCAATGTGCCATCAAAACCTTGTAGAGTGAAGAAAGGAAAGGAAGACACTGACCTCAAAGCATCTGGCAGAGAAAAGCCTTCCCATGCAGGCTGACCTGGATTTTAATCCTGGCTGCCAGATTTCATAGGTGTTTGACTAGGCAAGATCCTTAATCTCTCTGAACCTCTGTGTTTTTAATCTATAAAATGATAAAAGTAATAGTTTTTGTTTTATTGGGTAGTTGTGAGAACTACAGGAAGTAATCCATAATGATAAGCATCAATTGATAGTAGATGGTAGCTTTGACTATATAAATAATACTATTATTTAGTATCTGACTCATAGTTGGCTCTCAAAAATTTTAGTTTCCTGCTTTCCTTTACCTAATTGTGCCAACATTTTTGAGAATTTGTCGTGTAAAGAAGAACCAATATCCAGACCAATAATATTCAAATGTTCTTGCTCTCATACACATTGAAAAGGAAACTGAAAAATGTATATATGCTTTGCACATGATTTTTCGATATAAGTTGAAAGAATAGGGAATTTTAATTTTCCCATGTATTGTAAATAGTAGCATCTTTAAAAATATCTCACCGTTTTTTTGAAATGTGCCCAATGGAATCTACATATCATGGCAATTTGATATCCAGTATCATCCATTTAAACAAATACACAAACAAGTTTTTCTTTAATAGTAAGAAATTTTCTCTCATTCCATTTTCTCCTTAAACTTATATTTTCATTCTATTTTCTTCAGAGAATTTTATTCTTATGTAATATATTTTATGCTTAAACATCTTTATTGATCAATAAAATATATTTTTAAATTTTGAAAATTAAAAATTTCCTGGGACACAAAAATCTAGGTATCAAATATTCATTCTGGATTGAGTTATCATTGTAATTTATTACTTGTACATAATTGATCAAAATAAATATATTACACATTTCTATGGCTATTAAACATAAACAGTGAAATTTTTAACAGAAATAGATCTCTTAATGAGAAGAAAAAGCATTTTTTCCTCCAGTAAATTAATGGATCCATTAATAATTATTATTTCTTCCTAGAATGAGATAGGATTCAGCATCGATATCATCCTTATTTTGCATTTTTATAGATGTGAGTGCTGTGAAAGCTGCTGGTATAATGCATTCGAGGTTAGAATGCTCTTTCCCCAGATCATCCCCTGCTGGTTTCTTCTCACTATTTAGGTCTCAGCTCAAATGTGACCTCCTCAGGGAGGCCTCACCTGATGGTGGGATCTAAAGTGCTCTCTCTGAACCCGGTTATGTAATCATCAGAGCACTTGTCGCTCTCTGCAGATGTCTTGTTCTCAGACTTAGAAATTGCTCCTCTAGGCTAGAGTGTCGGTTCTGTGAGAGTGACCTTGTCTATCTTGCTCCTTGGTGACTCGTGGTAGGCACTATGATGTAAACGCTGTTGGATGAATGAATAAATGAATGAATGAATGATACGCTTGTCTGAGAGGATCATTCGTTTACGGAGCAGCAACCGGGAAGGAAACCGTTCTCTCTCCATTATCATCAAACCAAGGTCCTCCAAGTACTACAATGGAAGAGGAGTCTCCACACAGGCGGGGGAGTCTACACTTGTGTCCCAAGATTCACCCTGTGGTACAAGTGATATTCAATCGGAACAATTAAACTCAGCTCGAAATAACAAAAGGGAAATAAACACAGAGAGTAACTGCAACTAGGTAATCTGGGAGATTTTCAGCCTGGGACCAGGCACATGGTTGGAAATGCGTGGAGACACTTTTGCTCGGCATGGGGTTGGGGGAATATCTATCTGCATTTAGTTGGCCTTGCGCAGGCACCTACAGCGCTGCGGTAATTAATGTGTGGGACGATCCTTCGCAGCGAAGACTGCACCTCCACACCGCATTTTAGCTTCTCACACCCAGGGGCGCTCTCAAGCTAAGGCAGACAACGTGAGTCCCCATCCCTGTCTAAAGCCTGTTTTCTGAGTTCAGGTTTCCCACCGAGCAGTCTCTGCCCAAATGACCATCAGAAAAAAAGCCCGCCGCGTCTGGAGACAGCCACCACGTCCACCCCATCCAAGCAGTACAGCGCAACACAGGACGGCCATCATCCCCAAAGCAGATACAGGTGACTTTTTAATACTATTATTACACTGGTGTGGGCGTGGGGGTTAGGATGAGGAAGGTGCTGGGGGAGGGGAAGGATGAAGCTAGTTGACCTGGGAAAGGCCAGCCTAGCAGGTGACGGATTAGATAGGTTTAATAGATTAAATATATCTAAAACATCTGCTATCCAGTGCATTTCAGTTTACCCTTTGTGAGCACTCATACAACCAAAGAGCAAGAACATTCCACCCAAAAGAAAACACAAATGTAACGTTGTTTTTGCCGAGCAGATTAGGCAGAGCTGCAGGTGAAAGATATTTATCTTATCCCAGAATGTTTTCCTGTTACAAAAATTTTAACCTTGAGTTTGAGAAGTGCCCTTTAGCAGAAAGATTCCAGAATCTTCCACAGATAATAAAGTTGAGATGTGGGGGAGGAGAGGGGAGAAAAAGAAAAACCATTGACTTTATTGAATGGAAAGAAATAGTGTTTAGTATGTTTCACAGAGAGCCCACATCTCCTTCTCGGTAACCCTAGACGCAGCAACATCAAGAAATTTACTGAGCATCTACTATGTGCTCAATAAAGAGGTGATTCAAAAGACTGCTGTTGCATGTACATGTATTAGTACCTTTTAAACTCATCAAATATTTTCTACTCACCAGTATTTATATTATAAACGTTACACTAAAACTGAAAAATTTGGTATTCAAAACTGAAAACGGCTGGCTGTTATTAATCAAGTAAAAAAGCTGCCTTATTCTATTTGCTCCAGCTGCCGGCCTTGAGTGAGGATGGGGGAAAATGGAAATGCAAATCACTTGCAGCAGCCCCGCTCAGTTGTAGGAAGCACCTCAAATAACAGGGTTTTCTTTGTTTTTCGATTGCGCGAACACGTGTAAATTGTTTCAGGGTCCCCTTGATCACCGAAAGGCGCGGTCGACCCTGAATCTTTCCAACGAGAGCGGCCTGTCTCAGGCAACGCATCAAGATACAACTTTAGGATTTCCTTCTAGGCCAAAGGTTCTTGACTTATAAAATGCCATAAAGGTTACGCGATTCAGGAAAGCGATCGCGGCCCCAGCTGACTGCGCAGCGTGCCCCAGGGACGCGAGGGGCGGGGCCTCGAGGGCTCTGGGCGGGGCCGGCGGCACCTAAACGTCACCGGAAGAGGTGGAGTCTCAGGAGCGGCGGCGGGAAAAGAGGACCGTTGAAAGCACTGGGCCACCTTTCCTGCTGCCGCGCTATGCCCGCCGCCGGCTCCGAGCTGCCCGCCGCGCAGGAGCAGGGCGCCGAGTCGCGGCCGCCGCCGCACGGGGAGCTGCAGTACTTGGGGCAGATCGAGCACATCCTCCGCTGCGGCTTTCGGAAGGATGACCGCACGGGCACCGGCACCCTGTCGGTGTTCGGCATGCAGGCGCGCTACAGCCTGAGAGGTGAGGCGGACGCGCCACGGGGGCGGGAGGGCGGGCGCGCCCGGTGCGCACGGAGTTGCGGTGGGGAGAGCGTTCTGGACAGGCCGGGCCCCGCAGTCGGCGTTTAGTCAACCTCAACCCCGCGAGGAGGGGAAGCGGCCTAGGCCCCACTTTGCAGACGCCGAAACTGAGGCTCGGATTAGAGAGATGACTTGCGTAGGGTCACACGGACTGGAGGGACAGAGCTGGGAGGCAAAACCGGGTCCTCTGGCTTTTAATCACGCAGTTATGCTGTCTCCCCAAAGCGGGCGCGATCCTGCAGCGTTTGCCCCAGATTAGAGGGTGGGAGAGGATCTGCTCGGGCTCGACCGGGGCCTTGGCTGGAGGCCCCCTTTTCTGCCTCTCCTCTTCCCTCCGCGTCTGCTGTTACGCTTTGCAAAGTTTTTAAAAATTGGAGCGAAGATGACGTGGGCGGGGCCGCGTTGGGAGGAGAGAGCCGAAAAGCAGGGGCGGGAACTTGTGGTTCACAACAGTTTTGCCTTCTGGTCCCGCGAACCAGCTTTCTTCTTAAACCTTGAAACAGGAACGCGAGAGTCCGAGTAGGAGTTCATATTTATGGGTCTTTGTCTTTAAAACGGTGGCTCCTGGGAAGAAGTGTGTCTAGGGGGCTGTTAGGGTCGGGCTTTCAGGGGACGGAGGGGCGGGGTGGGGGTCGGCACCGGACGAAAGTTGAAACAGGTGTGGAGGGCGGTTGTGAGTGGGGAGACCAACTGTTGGTGAAGCAGATTGACTCAGGTCAGGGGAGAAACCCTCCGCCGCGCACCCGTTGGAGAGACTGGAAAATACGGGGCTGCAGTGGCCGATGTGGCTTGGACAGCCTAGGGAGTTTTGTCTGAGCAGAGGGATCCACCTTCCTGCAGCTCCAGCGCAGTGGCCTCCGGGGAGCCACAGACCTCATTTCCACTCCCGCCCCTCTGCTTAGACCTTTGGCAAGTGGCTTAACTTCTATCTTCAGCGTCCCCATGTGCTCAAAATGGAGGAAATCATCCTCAAAATGGAGGGAAGCAGGTGCTTGAAGAATCTGTTGTTACATGAGTATCACCTGTACAAGTGATAATGTCGACTGAATAGGTACCAAATTTAGAGAGAAGCTTTTATAGTTTTCTCTATTGCTTGACGCAAACTTACGTATTACCTCCTGGTGTCTGTAAAAAGGGAAGTCATAATGGAGCCTCAAGGAGGGCTGTTTTGAGGATCAAATAGGATCATGCATATCAAGTGTTTAAACAGTTAACTATTTTTATTACACTTAAAAGAATACAGGTTAATTTTCTTTGCGACTATCTAGAAACTATTCATTTTGGGCCAGGGCAGTATCTACTATCCCCTGGTCTTGAGCAAGTTATCCCTGGCAGGATAATCATGGAATAGGAGCCTTCAGGCTTTGTCCTAGGTCACATTCTATGTGTTGTCTTCACACCTCTGTGATGAAGGGTTC